TGTTCATTCATAACTGAAGTCTAGGAAATTGTTTTTTTTTTGGATGGGGGGGGGGGGAAGAGGGGTCCTGTCATGTTGGCTGTATGGGGCCCCGTGGTTTCTAACAGCAGCCTTGGCTATGGGGGATCATTTACCTAGTTTACCAACTGGGAGAAGGACCCCATAGACTTCTGTGCAGCTGTACTGGTCAGAGGATTTATGGTGTGGGATGTAAGCAATCCCAGAGGCTGCAGCTTGTCAGGTCAAGGTGTAGGTATGCATCTGGAGAAAGGGGGTGAAATCTATTAGGTCAGCTCAGAGGGCAAAATGGATGATTGCACTTTCTCTGAAATTAGACTTATCCTTTAAAGGGTTAGTGATACTTGTGGTGCCGCTGAAAGCCGGGAAATCCATGTGGCAATCCCAGAGAGTAAGCCATATTTATACAAGGAGACCTCCGCTCTCATGATCAGCTCTGTGTAACCAAAAGATATGGAGCAGCCTCAGCCTAGATGTCTCCGCCAAACCACGAACACTGGCGCGTTTCATCCAGCCCACCGGAGCTTAGTCATACCCCGATGACTGAGCTCTAGTAGGTGGGATGAAGCACATCAGAGGCGTGGTTTGGCTGAGACCTGTCGGCTGAGGCCGCTCCATATCTTTTGGTTACACAGTGCTGGTCAGGTCCCCTTATATAAACATGGCTTATCCTTTTAAAGAGATTTTTCAATTTCTGCAAGGTGGGAAATTCTCTATGTAGCCAGTGACAAATATTGAGGGGAATTTTCTCAGCTGATTTGCCTCATTAAATAAATTAGTCTAACCCAGCTCCCATCTCCCCTGAACTATAATACCCTAGCTAACTACTCACTAATCTCTAACTGATCCAAGCCCTGAATTCCTGTTTACTTCTCCTTGGCATAAATCCCTAGATTTCGGCCATGCCTGCGCAGTAAGCCCTTATAGACCTGTATGGGGCTGTCCTAGGTGATGAGGCTGCATCTGAGGTTAGAGGAGTTTCATGTAAGCGTACAATTGTCTTATTAAAATGATCTCTCTTCATTTTCTTAGGAATAAGAAGTCCTTTTTCTTTCTATCTTCTCTATCCTTCTCATATTCTCATACCTGGTTATCGTATCGGTCTTCCTTACACATGGTTAAAATACCAGATCCAGTCATTTCTGCACAGTGCCTGGAAGAATGTAATACAGGTTATCCTATAGGGAGGCCTAAAAGGAAAGAGAAGGAATAAACAGAGGGAAATATTTTGTGATGTTAAATTGGTTATAAACCCTTCCATATACACAGTGAAGTGACTATCCTCAGGTTCTCTACATCAGTTCAAAGTGGAAAATTTATACAACATTTCCAAGCTTTCAGAAAGTCGGGATTGGAGAGCTGAAGGTTCATTCTGCAGAGCTCAGTGAGATCTGATTGGAGGGAAGGGACACCCCCTCCTTCACACAGGAACAGAGCTGAGACTGTCAATCACAGTTGACACAGCTCCCTCCCCTGCCACCTTTTTTTCTCTTAGTGTCATGAAAACTTGTCAGAAGTGACTCCTGTTGATAGCAGGGGAAGGAGGCAGTAGACCGAAATCTCACTTAACTGCAGAGCTCAGTGAGATCTGATTGGAGGGAAGGGACACCCCCTCCTTCACACAGGAACAGAGCTGAAACTGTCAATTACAGTTGACACAGCTCCCTCCCCTGCCACCTTTTTTTCTCTTGGTGTCATGAAAACTTGTCAGAAGTGACTCCTGTTGATAGCAGAGGAAGGAGGCAGCAGACAGAAATCTCACTTAACCAAGATAAATACACATTATAGTGGGATATGCTTTGTTCATCTTTCATGTCTGAGGTTCACAACCACTTAAAGACAGAATTCATCACTTTCAGATGTGTTTTGTATTGTGCATCTAAAGGTACGCCAGCAATTTCGTTTTTTCATTTACCCTCTGTCTGCTGATGACCTGATGTGACAAAAGTAAATTTGTAACTCGTTGGCCGTTGAATCCTAAATGATACAAAAACCTCAAGACACCCGCCGGTAGAAAGGAAAAAGGGAGGATGTTCTTGCAAATTTAATCAGTTAGCTTATGTTCTGTTTAAACGTGTTTCTTTTCTATTAAGTGGTCCAATAGATACAATTGTATTTTTTTTTTTGGGGGGGGGGGGGGGGGGGGAGTTCTTTATAAAAAGCCAGTTCATCTGGGGCTTACATTTCTGGAATTTGTCTTTTATTTAAAGCACGTTTGCTGGCTTTGGAGATATACTCACGTGTTCACGGGTATATAAATGTTTTCAAATATTTTGCTTTTAAAATAAATCTGCAATGCTAGCAAAACCGTTTAAATATGTTTTTTTTTTAACATACCTAAGTAAAGGTGGGCACAGAGCATTATAAAAGGGGTTTTCAGTCCAGCATACTTTGCCACCAGGAAGGTCAAGGGTGCAGTGATTTTGTGTGTGGTTCCCTCAAGGTGCCAAGGGGATTAGCACCATACTACATTGACTTCACTATGGAGTTCACACACGCATGCTTAACTCTAACATCTGGGGTGGGCTGGAGTGCTTGACCTCAGATCTCCTATTCATGCTGCATCATTAAGTGGGTGTTTTTTTTTTTTTGTTTTTTTGGGGGGTTTTTTTTGCTTCAACTTTTAAGACTTTAAACATAAGGTGTAGCATTGTCTGAGGAGGAATAGTGTCAGATACCCTGGTGTGTATAACCAGTGCTCTGGGTAGAAATGGTTTCTTCTTTAAAAAAAAGCTCATTTATGGCAGAGCTAAACTGTATCTGAGCACCACAACAAAATGTGCTGTTTAATGAATTTTTTTCATGTTTAATATTCAAAGCAAACTTATTTTCCTGAGAAATCACTTTGAAAAATATACCCCCCCCCCCCCCCCCCCAGTATTGCTAGCTGCAGCCATCTTGAGAAAGGGCAGGTAATTCATGTAGCATTTACGTCCTGGTATCCATCTGCACTTAGCTCAGGCAGGAGGGTGTGCTTAGCTGAGACAGACCCTTCTCTGCTCCAGTCTCCTGGGATGTATGACATCATTTGCCTAGGCCAGAAACCAGGAAAAACTGAAGAAAAGTTGGTTTATCTATTTACAAATGCTAGCAGCATAAGGATTAGAAATAGTCAATGTTGATTGATGGAGTGAAGTTCTGCTTTAATCAGATAATTTTGTGGTTGCATGAACTGTAGCAGTGCTTAACTATCTTGTTCAGGTCTAGATGTGTTCAAAAAGATTCTCCCCTTATTTAGCAAAATATGTTCAATTACTTGCTGGCCTTAAAGTGTCAATAAACCCACAAGAATAAAATCTGTCTGTATATGCAGTAATACATCCATGTCATACTCTGGTACCTAAGGGGTTAATCCTCAGCTTTGTGTTAAAAAACCTTATTGATCCTGCCAGCCTCTGATCCTCCCCTTTTCACTGGGCCCAGTTCAGCTGCCGATTCTACAGAGCTGCGTTGGCAAGCAATGGGCATGCTCTTTTTTTTTCTGTGTTTTCCTACAGGACATTTCCTCTGTGATTGGAGCTTTGTAGGTCATATGACTATGACATCATACTTGTGAAAGTATATGCAGATGATGAATGACAGTCCACATCCAAATACACAGTGGGTGGTATAGTAAGAGTTTAACATGGATGTGTAGCTCCGCCCACACCTTTGTTGCAGAATCGTAACAAAGCTTAGATTTCAAATAGTACTTGTATGATCATTTTATACAAGGATATAATGTTAAATCTATATTTTTCTACTGTATGATATCCCCGAGCACTTGGGTTTGCATTCGATATGAATCACGCAACCACTGCATTCAGCTAATGGCATACCGGTACTTAGCAATGTGAACTACACAAACATGAATAGCATACAGTACATGGCAAAGCAATATAAAGGTTTAATGGGTTATGTGTTTAATTACACTTTAATCTGTTTACTGTGCCCAATGCTGTGGATGCCTATAAATCACAACCCCCTTTGAGTGCCATCAGCTGGCGATTTGTGCAACTAGTGGCTCCCAGTCCCCGCTGGCACTGACCTCCCAGGTCCCCAGTGACAATTGGGAACCTCTCTGGTTCCTGATAATGTGGCCAGCTCTGGAGCTCTGGAATAGTAGTCGCATGCAGCCTGGAGGAGCAGATGAACACTGCCACGTTTAGGCTACAGGGAAATCTGCAGTGCCATCTATTTAAAGCTGAACTTTAGGAAACATCCAAATTTACGTTTGCATTTGGGCTCCCCCTTGTGCTGCAAGGGTTAAATGCTTATTTTGTCCAGGGTACCCTTAAAAAGACATCTTACTTACTTTATGCATTGTGACAGCGCTTTTGTTAGTGAAGCACCATGAATGCTACTATACTATACTACAGTGTTGTCCAGCAAACTTGGTGAGCAAAGGATTAGTCAGTATTGCCAGTAGGCTCCCTGCAGCTGACCTTTTTTCCGTTACTGATTTTTCTCTTTCTCTCTTTGGAGTCTGCCATCTTGGTAGAGGGCTTTGTTTTCTCATGTCATTGCTGTCAGATTACTGCTGATCTGATGACTTGTGAAAGATTATTCAAGAAGTGACAGGACAGGTAAATGAAGCAAAGATCCACAGAATGAATGAAGCAGAAGTAGAGATTCCCTTCCATTGCTGCAGGTCCTCAGGTACAGCTTTCTCTCCGGAAAGGAAAACCGTGAGCAGTACTGTAGTGGCATCTCCAAATCTGGGTGATTCATGTCCACAATGGCCTAAATCTCACACTGCAGATACTGTATATGTCCATGAGGGTAAGGAACAGGAGTGCCTAGGCACAGAGTGTGTACTGCTTTTTTTTTTTTTTATAGAGGAATTCAAGAAAAGGTTTATTTTTCAGGGTACTGTTTAGGCACAATTAACATTTTTATATAGTCCCTATATCTTTGTATACAGGTCCACAGGGGCATTTGCACATTCTGTATAATGAATTTTCTTTATCCAGAATTTTATTGATCAATTTTATCTTATGCAGGTCTTCTGCCGCAGCTGCTTGGAGTGGCTCCTGAAAAAGCCATTAAACTTACTGTAAGTGAAATGTTTGCACCATCATGTTTTTTTCAATATATGACTCTAAATCCTTCATATTTTTTTTTTTCGTTCTGTTATCTTGAACACCATCTTTGTTTTCCCTCCTCTTGTATTTCATGTTTCATACTATTGCCTATAAAATGCTGAGGTTACTGAGATAGTTTAGTATGTATAGTAGGCCTGTCTTAGCCTGTTTTCACACTTGTGTGTTTCCTGCACCGCGGATGCAGTGCAGCTTATCCGCATGTTTGGATTGGGCTAGCTGCTCTTTCCCATAGTTATATTGGGGTTTATTTACTAAAGCTGGAGAGTCCAAAATCAGACTCCCTTCTGCATAGAAACCAATCAGCTTCCAGGTTTCATTGCCAAAGCTTCATTTAACAAGCTGAGGTTAGAAGTATGATTGGTTTCTATGCAGAAGGGAGTCTGATTTTGGACTCTCCAGCTTTAGTAAAATAAACACCATTGTGTCCACATGTTTGGTGCGCTTTCTGGAAGTGCACAAAAACTCTTGAATGCTGCATCTTTAGTGCGCTTCCAGAAAGTGTACCAAACACACACCAGGACATAATATAAGTCTACGGGCAAGCTGCGGTATGGGAAAACACATCACGGCAGTGTGAAAGCAGGCTTAAGCTCACCATGCACCTTACAATCGAACTGTACAATCTGCTTTAGATCTACCAAGAACTGTGTAGAACAATTGCCTATTTGATTGGATACAAGTTGATTGAAAAGTATAGTTAGGTACTTATAACATAGGTTTGGTAAATCTAAAGGAGATTGTAAAATCAAAAATTGTGTATGCTGATCTTTATTGCTTTACAAATTATTTAATAAACTGTATATCTTGCTTTGTCTGTCTTTTGTGTGTGTGGAACCCTTTTTCCTCCTTGCAGATGTATTAATATTGAGTTGTATTTGTATTTCAGGTGAATGATTTTGTACGTGATAAATTTACGACTAAGGATGGTTCCATTCCTTTTGTAGCTGAAATTCTTGCGGGTGGATGTGTAAGTTTAAGCTGTTTTACTAAATTCACTTAGGAAAAAAGAAAAAGCATGGAGACAGTCACTTAGTACAGGCAAATTTATTTATTTTTTTCATCAGTGGACAGATTTTAGAGTATACAGAAAGACTTTCGTAGCGTGTGTGTATATTATTTATTTATATACTTATTATATACACACACACACATACATCTCAATAAATTAGAATATCAAAAAGTTCATTTATTTCAGCATTTCAATTCAAAAAGTGAAACTCATATGTTATATAGATTCATTACACACACTATATATTTCAAGCATTTCTTTCTTTTAATTTTGACTATTATGGCTTACAGCTTTTGAAAAGCCAAAATTCAGTATCTCAGAAAATTATATTACATAAGATCAATAAAAAAAAAAAAAAAGATTTTTAATACAGAAATGTTGGCTTACTGAAAAGTATGCCCATGTACAGTATAGTATGCACTCAATACTTGTTTGGGGCTCCTTTTGCATGAGTTACTATATCAATGTAGAGTGGCATGCAGGCAAATCAGCCTGTAGCACTGCTGAGGGGTTATGGAAGACCAGGTTCGTTTGATAGCAGCCTTCAGCTTGTTTGCATTGTTGGCTCTGGTTTCTCTCATCTTCCTCTTGACAATAACTCGCAGATTCTCTATGAGATTTAAGTTAGGCGATTTGCTGCCCAATCATGCACAATGATACCATGATCATTAAACCAGATATTGGTACTTTTGGAAGTGTGGACAGGTGCCAAGTCCTGCTGGAAAATGAAGTCAGCATCTCCATAAAGCTGTTCAGCAGAGGGAAGCATGAAGTGCTCTAGAATTTCCCGTAGAGAGCTGCGCTGACTTTGGACTTGATAAAACACAGTGGACCAACACCAGCAGATGACATGGCTCCCCAAATCATCACGGACTATGGAAATTTTACACTTTACCTCATGCAACTTGGATTCTGTGCCTCTCGACTCTTCCTCCAGACTCTGGGACCATGATTTCCAAATTAAATGCAAAATTTCACTGAGCAACAGTCCAGTCGTTTTTCTCCTTAGCCCAGGTGAGATGTTTCTGATGTTGTCTTTGGTTCAGGAGTGGCTTGACACAAGGAATGCGACAGTTGTAGCCCATGTCCTGGATACATCAGTGTGTGGTGGCTCTTGAAACACTGACACCAGCAATATTCCACTCCTGTGAATCTCCCCCAAATCCTTGAATGTCCTTTGCTTCACAATCCTCTCAAGGCTGCGGTTGTTATCCCTGTTGCTTGTGCACCTTTTTCTACCACACTTTTTCCTTCCACTCAACTTTCCATTATTATGCTTGGATACAGCACTCTGTGAACAGCCAGCTTCTTTAGCAATGACCTTTTGTGACTTACCCTTCTTGCGAAGATGTCAATGACTGTCTTCCGGACAACTGTCAAGTCAACAGTCTTCCCTATGATTGTGTAACCTACGGAACCAGACTGAGACCGTTTAATGGCTCAGGAAACCTTTTACAGGTGTTTTATGTTAATTAGCTTATTAGAGTGTGACACCATGAGCTTACAATATTCAACTTTTTCTACAATATTCTCATTTTCCAGATACTGAATTTTCGAGCTGTAAGCCATAATCCTCATAATTGAAATATATCACTCTGTGTGTAATAAATCTATATAATGTGTGTATTTATTTGTGTATATATACACACACACACTCTCTCCTCTCTCCCTCTCTCTCTCTCTCTCTCTCTCTCTCTCTCACACACACAGAAGTTGAATCCACCTCTCACATTTTTGTAAATATTTTATTCTATCTTTTCATGTGACAACACTGAAGAAATGACACTTTGCTACAATGTGACGTAGTGAGTGTACAGCTTGTATAACATGGAAATTTGCTGTCCCTCAAAATAACTCAGCACACAGCCATTAATGTCTAAACCGCTGGCAACAAAAGTGAGTCTATCCCTAAGTGACAATGTCCAAATTGGGCCCAAAGTGTCAATATTTTGTGTGGCTGCCATTATTTTCCAGCACTGCCGTAACCCTCTTGGGCATGGAGTTCACCAGAGCTTCACAGGTTGCCACTGGAGTCCTCTTCCCCTCCTCTATGACCACATCACGGAGCTGGTGGATGTTGGAGACCTTGCGCTCCTACACCTTCCGTCTGAGTATGCCCCTCAGATGCTTAATAGGGTTTAGGTCTGGAGACCAGCTTGGCCAGTCCATCACCATTACCCTCAGCTTCTTTAGCAAGGAAGTGGAGGTGTGTTTGGGGTCGTTATGTTGGAATACTGCCCTGTGGCCCAGTCTGTGAAGGGAGGGGATCATGCTCTGCTTCAGTATGTAACAGTACATGTTGGCATTCATGGTTCCCTCAGTGAACTGTAGCTCCCTAGTGCCGGCAGCACTCATGCAGCCCCAGACAATGACACTCCCACCACCATGTTTCACTACTGCTTGAAGCTGGGTGTTCTTCATTCCATGAGATTTTGCTACTACAGTGTGTTAAAGTGCGTTTTCATGGATTTCCAGGCCCTCAAATGTGCTCTGCACTCATTTAATCCTATGGAAGGTTAGTGTGGAGTGCGAGCTTGTGTGCCTGTTGCAGATTTCCCCACATCCTGTTTCTTGATGCAGATTTCACCAGAATGTTGAATGAGGGGAAATCTCTTTAATGGAAGCCTAGATATCAGTTGGGTACGACAGAGATTCCAAACCTTCCCTGTTGAACTATTTTTAATCTTTAAGCTGCTAGCATTAGGAAAAGGATAGGATGGTATATTTACTTATTTTAATTATCTTCAGTTGCTTCCTGGTTTCTGGCTTTGGCCAAATGATATCATACATCCCTGGAGTCTTCATTGGCATTTTTTCTCCATTGGGAGGAGGGGCTTTCTCAACCAAGCACACTCTCCTGCCTGCATGCCTGAGCTAAGGACAGATTCCTGGAAGTAAATGCTGCATGATTCACCTGTCCTTACTCAAGATGATCACAGCCAGAAAGACTAGGGGATGTTTATTTTATTTATTTTTATTTCAGGTACTTGTATGTCGCTGTCAATTTACACAGCGCTTTACATATATATTGTACATTCACATCAGTCCCTAACCCTCAAGGGGCATATAATCTAAGGTCCCTAACTTACATACACATACTAGGGCCAATGTAGACAGGATCCAATTAACCTACCAGCATGTCTTTTGGAGTGTGGGAGGAAACCAGAGTGCTCGGAGGAAACCCACGCAGACACAGGGAGAACATGCAAACTCCAGGCAGGTGGTGCCATGGCTTTGATTAGAACCCATGATCCTAGTACTGCCAGGCGAAAGGGCTAACCATTTTAAAGTAATTTCTCAGTAAAATAAAGGATGGATGGATGGGTGAGTTTGTTTTGAATGTTAAAAAATGAACGAAATATCGTTTTCGTTTTGTGGTGCTCAGACACAGTTAAGTTCTGCTTTAAGAGATGAAAGCTGGTCACGCTTGTTAGTCTTATTGCACAACCTCTTCTAGATCTGCCAACTAGTGTGTGTAGAACAAGGGCCTGTTGGATTGTTTAGGTAGGCCCTCAAAGAGCTTTAATGAAGTGGTAAGGTCTATGGCCAGTTTACGTTGTATTAAAGTGGTTCCAAAGGCCAAAGGTTCTTTACCTTAATTGCTTCTATGTGTAGCTCCCAACCAGCCCCCTTTTTATACTTTTTTTATTATTATTAATAAAAAAAAAATTCTGACAATGTAAATAAAAAAGATAGTGAGCGCTCCTATTTTGGCAGCAGCTAAAACACCAAAGGTACCAAAAAAGCCTCAAGGTAAATGACAGAAGATGGGTGTAGCGCTATGGTAAAGTAATGCAAAATGACATAAACAAATAGAAATATGCCATATAAAATCTTAATAGGTATAATGTGAAATGTCCGTATATATAAAGTTCAATTAAAATACATTTTCAAAAGGTGAAAACCAGCAGCAGATGAACTTGTGACATCCGTTAGTAGTGAAAATGCACACTCACCGGAAGCTCATTCGAAATGTGCATATAATGTAAGCCGTGAAGGTATCAATAGGTGGACAGGATAATCCGGTGAACTTTTCCTCTATGGTGTAGTCATCAAGTTGGAAGGATTAAGGTATCTGCTGAATCCAGAGGTCCCAGAGGTTTATCATTTCTATACAATACCCTGTGACCTATGTTATTGTGTATACAAATAAATTTGCTTACATACTACACTATGGGCACCTGTTTTTTGGCTCCTTTATGGAGCTATTAGCTTACAGGTTACCCTACTGTCACTACACCACCAGAGGAAAAGGAGCCCTGTACTCAGGTTGAGCACCTATATCCATCCTTAAGGGGGCCTCTGGATTCAGCGGATACCTTAATCCTTCCAACTTGATGACTACACCATAGAGGAAAGTTCAGTGGATTATCCTGTCCATAGCAAGCGGCTTGCTAAGGAGGGCACTCAGCATGGAGGAGGAGCACCATCGGGGGACCAGTGAAGGAGGATCACGGCTGCTCTGTGCAAAACCATTACAGAGCAGGTAAGTCTACCATGTATGTTTGAGTTTTTTTTTTTTTTTTTATTATGATATATTTTTACCCTTACAATCACTTTAACCACTTGCCTACAGGACACTTATACCCCCTTCCTGCCCAGGCCAATTTCCAGCTTTCAGCGCTGTTGCACTTTGAATGACAATTGCGCGGTCATGCAACACTGTACCCATATGAAATTTTTATCTTTTTTTTGTGATAAAGCTTTATTTTGGTGGTATTTGATCACCTCTGGGTTTTTTATTTTTTCTTCAACAAACCAAAAACCACTGAAAATTTTGAAAAAAAAAATGTTTTTTCTTAGTTTTTGTTATAAAATTTTGTAAAGTGATTTTTCTTCTTCACTGATGTGCGCTAATGAGGCTGCACTGATGGACACTGATAGGTGGCACTGATGAGGCACTGGTAGGTGGCACTGATGGGCATTGACAGGCATCACTGAAAGGCAGCACTTATATAGGGCACTGATAGGCGGCACTGACTGGCACTGTTAGGCTGGACTGATGGGCACTGATGCACACTGATAGGCTGCACTGATAGGTGGCAGCACTGATAGGTGGCACTGACTGGCATTGATAGGTGGCACTGACTGGTACTGATGGGTGACAATGAAAGGCAGCTCAGGCACTGATGTGTGGCATGATGTGGCACTGATGGGCACTGAAATGTGGCACTGGCAGGTGGCATGGATGAGCACTGAGAGCTGGCATTGATGGACACTGACAGGTGGCATTGCTGGGGCTACACAGATCATCAAGGCACACTGATCATCAGTGCCATGATGATCTGTGTACATGTCCCCTCCGAGGAATGCCGATCACCGGCTCTCCTCTCCTTTCGAGCTGTCAGCATGACAGCTTTTAAGGAGAGAAATGCTGATAATCAGCATTTCCCTGTTTACATTTGATCAGCTGTGATTGGACACAGCTGATCACATGACCGAGCCAACATCTTCGGCTCTTTTTGTGGATCGGTGATCCGCTGTGTCCGAGGGACACAGTGCACCGCCGATCGCCGCGATCCAGGAGCCGCGCATGCACGGTTAGAATGGGAGGATGTCATATGACGTCCTCCCGGAACGAGAGAACCACCTTGCATCCGTCATATTACTATATGGTGGGCAAGAGGCGGTTAAGAAAAGCGTAATACGGCACTTGACACGCCAATAGAAATATTGAATTCGTAATAAGACCTTTGCAAATGACCAGAATCTTATGGTGAAGTGTTTTCAGAAAATGTACATAAGAGGATAGGGTTAAACGTATTTTTCCTTCCAAGTGTTTTCTAGTAAACGTCTGTAGGGCAGCAGAGTCGTGGAGCTGGAAGTGCAGAACTCAGACAATTTGTGCTCATAGAGGTCACATGACCTCCTGTTGAAAGATCAATGCTCCTCATTCTTTGAGAGAGATTCCAATAATCTGCTGGTCTCTGATCTCTCATGTCTGACCACAGACAGCTGACTTCCTGCCTTCCACTTTCCCTGATAGCTCCCAGTTTCAGCCAGTAGAGGCAGACTGTTCCTTTTGTTACCTCAGTTGACTCAGACTCTTCTAATGCTCGTGAGCCGCTGGCTGGACAAAAAGCTGCGGGGACATCCTGCCTATCTACTTTTCTCACAAGATGTCATGTGCAGGTAGACTTTGCTGTCAGGACGTTGTGTTTGATCATTGACCTGTCCCCAGATTCCAGGTAGTGTCCCTTGTTCTGTAACCCTCTGAGAGTTCCTGGAAACACAAGGAAAAAAGCTGCCCTTTGATTACTCTGCCTTTTTATTTGTAACTTTAAAGCAAAAATGCAATAAAGCGCTACTGAGTTCACACAAATAACATTGCACCTCTTTATCTGATCTGCTACAAAGTACACAGAGGTGGGCAGCTTTCGGAGTAGAGTTAGTTAATATTTGAGGGGTTTTTTTGTTTTTTTTAGCTCATAGTTTAAAATCAACATTAACTTCTTTTTAATGGAATTTACCTAAAAACCTGTTTTATATTGTTGGTATACAAATGTGTTTTTTGATCTTGTAGTGATAGGGCCATGTAATTCTTTTATAAAACTATCATAAAGGTTGCCATGACTTTCCACCCCTGAAAATGAATTTACCCAACTTGTTATTTTTAAAATATATGCAAAAAATGCAACAAGTACAAAAAAGAACTGCCAGAAATCTAATGTGTTCCTAAGGCTGGCCATACATGGATTGAAATTTGGCTGGTTCAGCAGGGACCAGCCACATTTCTTGTTCTGTAATATTATTGGCTTAATGAAAATAAGAGCCCTTGGAGCCAATACAAAAAAAAAAAGCATAACAAATGAATTTGCATACACTGTGTTAAAAAGTGCACACTGGGATAGAATTTGACCCATAAGAAGGTAAAGCAGCCAAACAAGAGAAAAGAAATAACATTGTGTCGGGTCCTGGAGTCTCAAACATTAATAAGCAAAAAACACACCATTTATGCATACGGAAGAAAGCAGGTAGAACTACAGGGTGAGATGGAGGACCTGTAGAAGGATGGTCATCCAAGCTAAAGGATCTGTAGAAGGATGGTCATCCAAGGAATAAAGAGAGGCAGAAAGAAATAGGTGGGAGGAAATGGGGGACTGTAGTGTTGGGATAGAAACGTTTATGAGAGCAACAAGGATTCAAGGTCCCCATCAGTGCTCATATTTCTGGACTTTATCCAGGACGACTGCTTCAATTTTAGCATGGACCATTGCCCAAGAGGGAACAGACACATATCTATCCATGTGTGGCTACTGTGGATCAACAGCAGTTGATCTGCTGACCGACTGCTGTTCAATTGCCCTCTCCATATATCTCTTGCTCAATCAGTGCTGCAGGCAATAGGCTGCAGCACTGATCTGTATATTCTTACTCTGGAGAAATCTCCCCACTGTCCGAATAAAATGACACCAGAGGGGAAGATTTCCACATGGAATATGTGGAAGGGGGGATCTGGCCTGTTTGTTTGTTTTTTGTTTTTTTTCATTCATCCCAGTTGAGCAAAAAAATAACTGTCCACATGTATGGCCTGCTTAACTTCCTTTTTGGCTGTACAACCCTGCCTACTACTTCATTCTGTACTACAGAACTCCTCTCATGCCCACTCCTCTCTGTTCCTACCCACATGCATACACTTATTTCTTTCCCAGCAAAGCAAGACTGCTGCTTTACAGACTGTCTGCACACTATGGGGTTGATTTACGCAAGGAAAATAGACTGTGGACTTTGCAAGGGCATTTGCTCCAGAGCTTCGTAAATGAGGAAAAGCTCTGCTGACTTCCGTCATCCAATCGTGCAAACAAAAATACTGAATTTTATTCTTTTGCTTGCATGTGATTGGGTATTCTTTGCAAAGTAAAGTTTCACCGCATTTGCAAAACTCTGGCACACGTCACACAGTGCGGTGAAACTGCACATGCAAAGTGCACAGTCTATTTTATCTTTAACATCTTCTCCCCGCACTAGCTTTCACTATTATAATAAAAATGCGTCCCTACGGGGCTCCACCTGCCTGCCCGGCCGTGTCATCCATTCACAGAAATTTGTGAATGAGAAACTACAAATATTGACTGCCTTTGCAGGTCTCAATGAACTACCATGACGCTGTAGTAGTTAACTGATTCTTCTGGTCAGTGTATATCTTCCTGACTGTAGGAGGTATGAGCAGAGAGATGCACTTACAAGTCTACAGGAGTCGTGTATGGCATCAGCAGATTGCGGGTGCAATGCTTTCCAGGCTCAGAGTAAAAATAATAATGAATGCACATTTTTTCACCTTACATCTTTAGTTATGTGTTATTCGTCACCAGCGGCAGCTCAGGTTACCTGTATCTGAGCTGTATCTGAGCTCCTGTCTCCACCAGTCTAATACAACAGTTAGGATAGGTCTTAGAATTTTTTTTCTGTTTTATTTTCGTGCACTTTGGGTTCCCTCTGGTGCTGGTTACATAATCAAATGCCAGTGGATTTCTTCTAAAGGGGCTGTTCACAGTTCAGGAAAGTGCTGATTGACCTGCCCTGTCTATACACGAGTCTCTCTAATGGCTTCAGCACTAATCATGTGAACAGTTCTCCATCTGTTTGGTCATATGACAGCCGTTTGAGGGAGCCTAATGAAGTGACTCCTCAGGAGAAGTAAGATTTTGCAGTCAGGATGGGGATTGGGATTTGCAATTTTAGTGTAATTCTGCATTAAACACTTATAGGCGCTATTTACATCAATGCATATGCAGTGCATTGTAGACATACAGATGTAAACACAGCCTTGTGAAATGTCAGTCTAGAGATCGCATTCTAAGCAAAGGCACTGATTTGGAGTGAATAGATAGGTGTCACTTTCAGAATGTCACTGGTTTCATGTGAAAGGATAGGCTGCAGTCTCAGTGATGTCACAGGTCTAGAGTGCCTTCTAGAATAGGCTGCCTTCTAATCAGGGGCGGACCAACAACTCATGGGGACCCTGGTCAATAGGGGATCATGGGGCCCCTGTGTCCTTGCCCACACTCAAAAAAAAAGCCTATAAAAAGGTACCAGGGGCATTTCAGTGGGCTCCCTACTGACCCCGGGCCCTTGGGCAGTGCCCGAGATCTCAAATGGTCAGTCCGCCCCTGCTTCTAATTGATCCCATGCATTGCTATGTAATGGATAGGCTGCTATCTTCGTTATTTGTCACTAGTTAATCAATAGGCTTCATTCTCGGCTATCTCGAAGGTTTTTGCAAAACCTTTGTGTCTTAACACTGTTCTTCTAAAGCTTCCACAGTATCTGTGTCGCTTTAGCCCTCTTCACCTTGCTTTCCAGTGAATGGGTAGGCTACATTCTCATTGATGTTAATGGTCTCTAGTGAACGGATAAGCTGCGTTCAGTGATATCACTGGTCTATAGTGAGTGGATAGACTACATCCTCAGTGATGCCACCAGTGTTTAGTCAAAGTAGGAGCTTCATTCTCAGTAATATTACCAGTAGTTGAAGCATAACCTACGTATTCAATGACATTACTGGTCCCATATAAATGAATAGGCTGCTTATTGACCATCTCTGCTGAGTTCATGGACATTAAAATAAAAACTGATCAATAACTTCTTACCTTTAGGATTGCATAATTATAATTGAAAATCCTGTGTTAGTGTTTGAATTTGCATCTCATTGATATATACGAAGTGCTATGATCACTTTTTAAGGAGAGTAAAAACAGTTGCTGGTGCAGGTAAGGATTCTCTTAATAAACACTGCTGGTTTAATAATCTCCAAAACGACATCCAAACAGTCATTTGTTAATCATTTAGTTGCCATGCACCCTTTTCCTATAATTGGTATGATCCATGCCAACCTCCTGATCCGTGCCACTTTTGTAAAACCTTTGTGTCCATCGCTGTGCTTCTAAAGCTTTCATAGGATCTGTGTCACATAAGCCCGCTCCACTTTGCTTTCCAGTCAAGCGTCACCAGGCGATGACTCTGAAGACCCCAGGGAGTTCACCTTGCTTGGTAATTACTGGGAATTAGCACGCATGGATAATTTTGTCCACTTCTCTATTGTGCGATTTTTCTGTTTGTAAATCTGATTCCTCTTTTTAAAAACGTGAACCTCTGTGCTCT